CCCTCCCCTGCCCCCTCCCCTGCCCCACGGAGTGTTGGAGGGGGGTGTCATTGAGGTCCCCCACCCAAGTAGAAAGCAGCACCCCACTGACAGAGACCGTCGAATTCTGTCTCCGTAGCTTTGTATGTTGGGTGAAACATGTCGGTGTATGTTGGGTGAAACATGGTGTATGTTGGGTGAAACATGTTGGTGGATGTTGGGTGAAATATGTTGGTGGATGTTGGGTGAAATATGTTGGTGGATGTTGGGGGAAACATGTCGGTGTATGTTGGGTGAAACATGGTGTATGTTGGGTGAAACATGTTGGTGGATGTTGGGTGAAACATGTCGGTGTATGTTGGGTGAAACATATTGGTGTATGTCGGGTGAAACATGTTGGTGGATGTTGGGTGAAATATGTTGGTGGATGTTGGGTGAAATATGTTGGTGGATGTTGGGGAAACATATTAGTGTATGTTGGGTGAAACATATTGGTGTATGTTGGGTGAAACATGTTGGTGGATGTTGGGTGAAATATGTTGGTGGATGTTGGGGAAACATATTAGTGTATGTTGGGTGAAACATATTGGTGTATGTTGGGTGAAACATATTGGTGTATGTCGGGTGAAACATGTTGGTGTATGTTGGGTGAAACATATTGGTGTATGTTGGGTGAAACATATTGGTGTATGTTGAGTGAAACATGGTGTATGTTGGGTGAAACATATTGGTTGTATGAGTTATGTGGTGAAACATGGTGTATGTTGGGTGAAACATGGTGTATGTTGGGTGAAACATGGTGTATGTTGAGTGAAACATGGTGTATGTTGAGTGAAACATGGTGTATGTTGGGTGAAACATGGTGTAGTTTGCGTGTGAAACATGGTGTATGTTGAGTGAAACATGGTGTATGTTGAGTGAAACATGGTGTATGTTGGGTGAAACATGGTGTATGTTGAGTGAAACATGGTGTATGTTGGGTGAAACATGTGTATTTGGTGAATATTGGTTGATGTGAGTGAAACATGGTGTATGTTGGGTGAAACATATTGGTGTATGTTGAGTGAAACATGGTGTATGTTGGGTGAAACATATTGGTGTATGTTGAGTGAAACATGGTGTATGTTGGGTGAAACATATTGGTGTATGTTGAGTGAAACATGCTGTATGTTGGGAGAAACATATTGGTGTATGTTGAGTGAAACATGGTATATGTTGGGTGAAACATATTGGTGTATGTTGAGTGAAACATGGTGTATGTTGGGTGAAACATATTGGTGTATGTTGAGTGAAACATGGTGTATGTTGGGTGAAACATGTAGTGGGTTAGAAATGTGACTTAACTAATGTGTATGACAGTATCCGACAGGTTTATCTCAGGTAGGAGAGGTCACGTGACTGTACTTATGTTGTCACTCGTTACGTAGTAACACAAGTGTTTGTGAACCATGATGTTCCTGTCCTTGATGAGGAGGGACACTGACCTGTGACACTCTTGTGTCGTTACTTGTAGTACCTCACACCGTGTTACTTGTAGTACCTCACACCGTGTTACTTGTAGTACCTCACACTGTTACTTGTAGTACCTCACACCGTGTTACTTGTAGTACCTCACACTGTGTTACTTGTAGTGCCTCACACTGTGTTACTTGTAGTGCCTCACACTGTGTTACTTGTAGTACCTCACACCGTGTTACTTGTAGTGCCTCACACTGTGTTACTTGTAGTACCTCACACTGTGTTACTTGTAGTGCCTCACACTGTGTTACTTGTAGTGCCTCACACTGTGTTACTTGTAGTACCTCACACCGTGTTACTTGTAGTGCCTCACACTGTGTTACTTGTAGTACCTCACACCGTGTTACTTGTAGTACCTCACACCGTGTTACTTGTAGTGCCTCACACTGTGTTACTTGTAGTACCTCACACCGTGTTACTTGTAGTACCTCACACTGCGTTACTTGTAGTACCTCACACTGTGTTACTTGTAGTACCTCACACAGTGTTACTTGTAGTACCTCACACCGTGTTACTTGTACTACCTCACACCGTGTTACTTGTAGTACCTCACACTGTGTTACTTGTAGTACCTCACACTGTGTTACCTGTAGTACCTCACACTGTGTTACTTGTAGTACCTCACACTGTGTTACTTTTAGTACCTCACACCGTGTTACTTGTAGTACCTCACACTGTGTTACTTGTAGTGCCTCACACTGTGTTACTTGCAGTGCCTCACACTGTGTTACTTGTAGTACCTCACACCGTGTTACTTGTAGTGCCTCACAGTGTTACTTGTAGTACCTCACACCGTGTTACTTGTAGTACCTCACACCGTGTTACTTGTACTACCTCACACCGTATTACTTGTAGTACCTCACACTTTGTTACCTGTAGTACCTCACACTGTGTTACTTGTAGTACCTCACACTGTGTTACTTGTAGTACCTCACACTGTGTTACTTGTAGTACCTCACACCGTGTTACTTGTAGTACCTCACACTGTGTTACTTGTAGTACCTCACACTGTGTTACTTGTAGTACCTCACACTGTGTTACTTGTACTACCTCACACTGTGTTACTTGTAGTACCTCACACTGTGTTACTTGTAGTACCTCACACTGTGTTACCTGTAGTACCTCACACTGTGTTACTTGTAGTACCTCACACTATTACTTGTAGTACCTCACACTGTGTTACTTGTAGTACCTCACACTGTGTTACTTGTAGTACCTCACACTGTGTTACTTGTAGTATCTCACACTGTGTTACTTGTAGTACCTCACAGTGTTACCTGTAGTACCTCACACTGTGTTACCTGTAGTACCTCACACTGTGTTACCTGTAGTACCTCACACTGTGTTACTTGTAGTACCTCACACTGTGTTACTTGTAGTACCTCACACTGTGTTACTTGTAGTACCTCACACTGTGTTACTTGTAGTATCTCACACTGTGTTACTTGTAGTACCTCACAGTGTTACCTGTAGTACCTCACACTGTGTTACCTGTAGTACCTCACACTGTGTTACGTGTAGTACCTCACACTGTGTTACGTGTAGTACGTCACACTGTGTTACGTGTAGTACGTCACACTGTGTTACGTGTAGTACCTCACACAGTGTTACGTGTAGTACCTCACACTGTGTTACGTGTAGCACCTCACACTGTGTTACTTGTAGTACCTCACACTGTGTTACTTGTAGTACCTCACACTGTGTTACTTGTAGTATCTCACACTGTGTTACTTGTAGTACCTCACAGTGTTACCTGTAGTACCTCACACTGTTACGTGTAGTACCTCACACTGTGTTACGTGTAGTACGTCACACTGTGTTACGTGTAGTACGTCACACTGTGTTACGTGTAGTACCTCACACTGTGTTACGTGTAGTACCTCACACTGTGTTACGTGTAGCACCTCACACTGTGTTACGTGTAGTACCTCACACTGTGTTACTTGTAGTCCCCTCACACTGTGTTACTTGTAGTCCCCTCACACTGTGTTACTTGTAGTCCCCTCACACTGTGTTACTTGTAGTATTTCACACCTTGTTACTTGTAGTCCCATCACACTGTGTTACTTGTAGTATTTCACACCTTGTTACTTGTAGTCCCCTCACACTGTGTTACTTGTAGTCCCCTCACACTGTGTTACTTGTAGTATTTCACACCTTGTTACTTGTAGTCCCCTCACACTATTACTTGCAATCCCCTCACACAGTGTTTCTCCCCAACACACACTCAGTGTTTCTACCCCCCCTACACACACACATACTGTTTCTCCCACACACACACACACACACAGTGTTCCTGACCCACTCACACAGTGTTTCCACCATCCTTGACGCCTGATAACGACACAGAGTGGGACGACTCACCTCACTGAAAAGCGGCAACTCAGAGCTTGGTTGACATTCTCAACACTACTCAACTAATCCAGATACAACATCCAACTCTCATCCTCTTCTTCCTTTTCATCTACCTCTTCCTCCTCCTCCTCATCCTCCTCCTCCTCTCTGTGGTCACATTTAAAAATAACAATTGACATTAGAATCAGAGAAAGCATCATAGTATTAAATGAAACTTACTTTCTGAAGTGTGTAATCACTTTTTGCCTGAGTGTGCGGGATAGTCCATCATCAGAGATGATAATTCCCAAGTGATATTAACTTCAGCACTGCCGGAAGGAAAACCGTTGAGGTGCCCTAGTTACTTAACCCGTGATGGAATGCTTGACGATATCTCTCATACCAGGCTATCGTACTAGATTACTTAATACATCCCATCCTGTATGATCTAATGTGACGGGGGATACATAGCTAGCTTCTCTTATCCTTCTGTATTTCTTGCCTAACTCTTCTTGTTTTTCGTCTGTTCCTCACTGTGGTCACTCTGCAGCGCTGCTTAAACCTTGACGATGGTTCAATACGGAGCCCAACTTCGTCTGAAGTTCCCTAAGTGTGAATTATTGTTCCAGTCATTATATTGTTCGAACCACAATATTGTTCGTCACTGTATTGCTGCAGCCATGGTATTGTTCCAGCCACGGTATTGTTCCAATCGCTGTATTGCTGGAGCCGCGGTATTGTGACATTTTACATTTGGTCTACATATTAAATTTTCACTTAATTGGTATGAACGTTATTGTGGCCTTCCGACTCTTTCTGTCCACCGCATGAGAGGTCCAGCACTCTCTATCCAAACTTCTAGTAACTAGACGGGAGGTGAGTGTGTGTGTGGGTATGTATGTGTACTCTGAGGTGGTACTCACCTTTTTTGTGTTTGCAGAGGTCGAATCACAGCTCCTGGCCCCAATTCTAAATTCTGATCGACCACTGTGTAGCAATAATGTCGATAATTTTATTAATAAAAAATAAGATGGTTGTAGTTGTGGTGGTAGTAGTGACGGTGGTGGTGGTAGTAGTAGTGAGAGTAATGGTGTTGGTAGTGGTAGTAGTGGTGGTAGTGGTAGTGAGGCAACTAACACCATCTTCTCTCTCTCCTTCTCGTCCTACAGGTGATCCCAGGCACGCCCATCCGCCCACGACCCCACAAGCTGGTATGACCTCTTCCATTAATCTGATTGCATCTAGGTCACACCTTAACCAGGTCATACATTACTCGCCAAAGTCATACACTACTCGCTAAGGTCATACATTACTCAACAAGGTCATGCATTACTCACCAAGGTCATACATTACTCACCAAGGTCATACATTACTCACCAAGGTCATATATACATTACTTACCAAGGTTATAACGAGGGACAGTGTCATGATTCAAACTGCCCGCCCTTCCACATGCATGGCACGAGACGTATGAAGGCTCATGAGCACCAAACTGAACAATCAAACTATAGCCATGCAGCCAGCAGAGATCTTTTAGTGCAGGCAGCGAGAAAGGAGAGCCAGAAATGTTGAGAATGTACTAGCATCCAGGAGCCGTGGTGGACTGCTAGCAAGCCAATGGTGAGCTCAATAGAATCCCACGTACTAAGTCCAATCAATAAGCTCCTCTCCCTCCCCATCCCCAGCAGCAAACACCTCCCCCGGCACAGAAACTAACAATGTAATCATCTTCTGTCTTTGCAAACATACAAGGGCTAACACCAAGTAAAACCAGTCAAATTCCGTATATCAGTGGTCGTGTCACTGAGTCAAGTGCAGTATTTGCATTCTTATGTAGACTCGCGTAGAGGACTGTTATAACGACGAAATATGGATTCCTGGGTACAACTATTTATGTGCGACCAGAAAAACGGGCAACAGGGGAAAGGTTGGATTATGATAGTCATTCACATACACTTGAGTTATTTAGCAACACAAGTAATGTAATCGAAGTTTTGCCAATCAAAATTGAAAACCAGAGCCTATTTGTTGTGCTTGTATATAAACCACCAGATAGAACTCCCACTAGTTCAAGGGCCACTTACAGGAAATCGAGCATTGCCTTGAAAACCTAACAGTCTCGTCCCCGAATATCTTGTTGCTTGGGGACTTTAATTTGAAACATCTTATATGGAAGAGTGTAGCAAGGACTGTAATAGCAGAGACCCTTGGAGCTAGTCTGAATGAACAGTCTCACACATCAGAATGATTAAACCTCCGCAGTAAATTCGCCGTCAGTCAGAAGATAGCAGAACCAACCAGACTAGGAAGCACCCTAGACCTTACATTCACGATCAGCGAGGACCTGGTCTTGGACGTAATGGTGTAGAAGAGAGCAATCTTAGACCATAACATAATCGAGGTTGAAACCTGTTTCAGCACTGGACTGGGTCAGAGAAACACGATCAGTCATGAGGACATATTCAAGTGAGACCAAATAAATCGTGAACTTAACGAGATAAGCTGAGAAGACGATACGACCACCGTGGATCTAAACCAGTTCCTAGGAGAATGAGCTCATTGACGCTCGAAGTATGCCCAAGACGCACGTCTCTGCTGTAAACGATGAAAAGATACAAACTCGAGAGAGAGAGAGAAAAAAAAGGGCGCGCCCCTTACAGACAAAGACGATGGATAACAGATCTTCTCAAAGTCAGCAGACCCTGAAGCATGAAAGGAAACTCTGGTTAGGGGAAAATGAAGAACGTCGAGCACAAACTGATTGTCATAGAGTTCAAGGAAGATAGAACGAGCAAAGAGCCATAAATTAAATTAGAAGAAATCTCAGATAGCTCTTGGCATATGCCAAATCTTGAGAGAGGACTGCATCCAGTATAGAACCTTTACTTGAAGAGGATGTAATGTACTCATAACAGTAAGGAAATGGATGAAATACTGATGTCACAATACGAGTTTGTTGAGTGAACCACTCATCATCAGTCTAAAAATCGAAGACTCCTAACGAGTTTTCTATGAATGAGATTCAAAACACTGCCGTTATCTGCACAGTTTCTGATAGTCTTCTCCCCAGTTGACTTGAAAAGCCATCGGCAGCATATCCATGCATTCTGCCCCAGGCCTAAACTCCAACTCTGTATTCATCAACATTTGCAAGAAATCCCTATCTTGGACACAGCCTTCGAAAGGTGCGTTCATGGAATGATAGCTCATAAAATTCTTGCAAAGAGAATAACTAGAAAAGTGGGTAGATGGATATTTAACTTCTTAAGAAGTAGAACCCAGAGAGTGGTAGTAAACAGAGTGAAGTGGGAGGCTGTCACAGTGAAACCTCTGTTGTTCAAGGCACAGTACTCGTCCCACTTCTGTCTCATTCTTATATCCGACATAATTATTATAATCAAAGGGGAGCGCTAAACCCGTAGGATTATGCAGCACCTGTGGGGGGATGTGGAAGGTATTCAGGCTTATATCCGACATAAACAAGAAAATACATATAGCACTGAAACATTCTTTGATGATGACACCAGAGTGAGAGAGAGAGAGAGAGAGAGAGAGAGAGAGAAACGCGTCCGGGGAAGACAGCTAATCTTCAGACGGATATAAATCAAATCAGTGAGCCTCAGATAATATGATGTTTAAGGAGGACAAGTTTGAGTTGTTCCGTTGTGGAATATTATAGAAAATCAAGACAAAAACAGAGTACGTTAATAACTCAAATTATTCAATAAATCGAGTGTCAGGGGAACGGCTTCCGCCTGAACAAAGGAATGGAAAAATAAATAATGAATATCTTGATGAATAATTATAATTTTTTAAGAATTTTAATTGTAGTATAATGTTGAGACAGGAGTATGTCCAGGATGGTCTTCAGTGATGTTTTTAGAAGAAATGGTGTTGGTTATCCTGAGTGGCGGTGTTCCTCTGATGTTCTGGAAATCCTGTCAGTACTCGGTCACAGTACCACACTTCAGATTTCAAAGAGACGAGGAGTCGTTATGTCCCAATATGTCCCGTTGGCAGGAATCTTGCTCCAGTAACCAGCGTCTGCCCTGGTTGACCAGGCCAGCAGCAGAGCTGATAAAAAAGTATAATATAGAAGAAAGACAAAGGATAGTATTCTACTTCAGTGTCATACTGGTAACCAGGTAAATCAGTAACAAAGAACAAAAATACTCCTGGTAGATCACCTCACTTGATCAGAAGAGTAGAGGTGAAGTGATCCTCCAAACTTCAACCCACACCAGGTAAGGTTAATACTACCAGGAGTAGAAATTAAAGAAAATCAGACCCGGGGAAACTGAAGTTTAGCCTCAGCCCGGTAGTAGTGCAGGCGGTAACTTGCTAATGGTTCCAAGTAGTCTGAACAACCATAACCCTGTTTTTAACGACTTTTCCCTCGCACCGAGAATTACATGTGCGAGACTTAGGAATCACAATGTCAGAATATCTAACACTCAAGGCTTACAAAAATGTTGCTATTGCTACCACAAGGAAAAAGATAGGCTGGATAACTAGACCTTTCACGATAAAGGTTGCTTAACCAGTGATGATACTCTTCAAATCACTTTCTCTCCAGGCTGGAATACTGTCGTATACTAACGAGTGACGACCACCTTCAGAGCAGGCGAGAATGCCTTGAAATTCTTTGATCTCCATTCATTGGAATGTAGGCGAGAAAGGTATGTCATAATATGCACCTGGAAAATCTTGAAGGGACTGATCTCAAACCTGCACACCGAGATCACTATTTGTGAAAACAAAGAGAGCACACGGTGCAGAATGCCTCCAGTAAGAAGCAGGAACGCAACAAGTACACTAAGAGAGAAATCTGTAAGTGTTAGAGGTCCCCGACTTTACAACTCCCTTCCTTCGTACATAAGGGGAATTACCAACAAACCTCTGGCTGTCTTTACGAGGGAACCTATCAGTACATCATATCGGTTCTTGACCAGCCGGGCTGTGGTTCCTACGCTGGACAAACCATAGGGAGACCTACCGCGTCTCCGACCAAACCACGAAGACGTTGACACACGAAAGCATCCTTCATTTATCTTTCTGGTGTTTACCAGGTCATACATTACTCACCCAGGTCATACATTACTCATCGAGGTTATACATTACTCACCCAGGTCATACATTTCTCATCTGTGTCATACATTACTCACCTAGATGCATGGCTTGCTTTGGTTTGACTGCGTGTAATTTTCTTCTGAAAGACTCTCTTGAAGACTACTGATGGAGAGTTACTTGCAGACTGAGGGTGGAGCCTCCAGGCCTCCTGGCGCTCTATCACCTTTACAGACGGAGGGTGGAGCCTCCAGGCCTCCTGGCGCTCTATCACCATTACAGACGGAGGGTGGAGCCTCCAGGCCTCCTGGCGCTCTATCACCTTTACAGACGGAGGTGGAGCCTCCAGGCCTCCTGGCGCTCTATCACCATTACAGACGGAGGGTGGAGCCTCCAGGCATCCTGGCGCTCTGTCACCATTACAGACTGAGGGTGGAGCCTCCAGGCCTCCTGGCGCTCTATCACCATTACAGACGGAGGGTGGAGCCTCCAGGCATCCTGGCGCTCTGTCACCATTACAGACTGAGGGTGGAGCCTCCAGTACTATCACCATCACAAACTTGCAATATTTGCATGACTAATTAACCACTAAAGTGCTTGATGTTTCTTCCCACTAAATTGCATGAAATTGATCCAGGTTGGCTTCGCTGGTTGCATGTTTCGGCTGTCTCCTGGCACTGAGCAAGCTCCCGTTGGGACAATGTTTCGCTCAGTGGGAGGTGTGTTAATGACTCGATTGAAGGTTTAAAAAAAAAAGGGTGAAATGTTGTCCTAATAGAAGTTTGTTCCGAAACATTAAACTTCTCTTTTTTCATTAGCCATCGATTTTATAGTTTTGTTCAACGTTTCGACCCCCTCCCCATCGTTTTACACTGCCATGTTTTGTTTCTCAGTGTGTAGTTGTTTGTGTATACAATGACTAGCGTGTACACTGACTAATGTGTACACTGACTAGTGTGTACACTGACTAGTGTGTATAATGACTAGTGTGTACACTGACTAGTGTGTACACTGACTAGTGTGTACACTGACTAGTGTGTACAATGACTAGTGTGTACACTGACTAGTGTGTACACTGACTAGTGTGTACACTGACTAGTGTGTACTTACAGTGAACTGATAGTGTGTACACTGACTAGTGTGT